GGGCTACCACAGCAAGTTCTACGTCGTGCGTAGGGTAGTTTTGCTCACGTGATTTCAATTGTCTTGATGTGTAAGTGACCATTTTATCGTGTTGTATCAAGACACATCTTATTCCCTGATTAGAGGCATCAGGTATAGTTAATGCTAGAGCATTTACTAGCTTCTGTTCCAATTCTTCAAAACTCTGCTCACATTTCTCTATCCAATCAAACATTGCACCCTTACATGTTAATTGTGTTAGTGGTTCTACTATCTTGAAAAATCCTTCAATAAATCGTCTATAGTATCCTACCAAGTCCAAAAAGCTACAAATTTCTCTTACATTGGTTGGCCTCGACTAATTTAATATTATCTCCACTTTGCTTGGATCAACCTCTATGCCTCAGGTTGTGACAACATGTCCAATGACCGTGTCAATCGAAACTCACATTTCCTAAACTTGGCATAAAGTTTTTCCTTCTTTAGGACTCCGAGTACTATCCTTAAGTGCTCTTCGTGCTCCTTTTTAGTTTTTGAATATATCAAGATATCTTCGATGACCACAATAATAAATCGATCAAAGTACTCATGGAAGACATGATTCATCAATTCCATAAAGATTCTTGGAGCTTAAGCCAAATGGCATAACTAAAAACTCATAATGTCCATATCGAATTCTAAAGGTTGTCTTCAAGATTTCACCCCCATTGATTCTTAATTAATGATAATTAGATCTCAAGTCAATCTTGGAGAGCACTACTACCCCCTGAAATTGATCAAACAAGTCATCTATCTTAGGGAAGGAATACTTTCTTAATGTTAATTTATTCAATTCCCTATAATCAATGCATATCCTCATTAAGCCATCCTCCTTAACAAACAACACCAGCGTTCTCCATGGTAAAACACTAGGCCGGATAAATCCTTTTTCTAATAATTCTTCTATATGTGCTTTTAGTGCCTGCAACTCTTTCAGTGTCATCCTATAAAGAGCCTTAGATATGGGTTTAGAGCCGAGAGTGAGATCGATTGTGAGCTCTACCTCTCATTCTAGCGGTATGCCAGGCAATTAGAAATTTCTGGATACTCATTTACCACTCTAACATCATTAATTGTCAATTCATTATTTTATTCATTTTCTATCATCGACATTAGTATTCCTATTCTGTCTTTCTATTGTAAGATCCGTTGTGATTTCATCGTAGAAATAATGTGGGGTAGGGGTCCATTCCTTGTTATAGATAAACGAATTTCCTCTTCTCCTGGTCTTAGAAAGACCACTTTTTTTTCAAAGCAAATTTTTTTTACGTGGTTCTTAGATAGCCAGTCCATCCCAAGAGTCACATCAAATTCGTTCATGTCTATCACATACAACTCCATTTCCAATGATCTACCATCCTTGCCATTTCAACAACGTTATCAGTGTTCAACTTATTCTTTAAAGGGGTTAGACACTACTAAGGAAAAATGTGAAGATTCAGGGATATAAAGAATTGAGTTGCGCAATAATTTGTCAATATATAAGCTAATAAGTCAGATATAAGGATATTATCTGCTAAATTATTTTGATCTTGATCTTCTTCCTACTCCGTCATTGCAAAGATCCTTGCTTGTCCTCTGGGTGTATATTCCTGCTGCTGTTGTGTGTTGCCCTATTTATACTGCATATTCTCTTATTTATTTTGGACATTATCATGTTTCTGCTATCCATTTCCAAGTTGTTGGTTCTTAGGGCAAAGCATGGCGATGTGTCCTTATTCTGCACATCGAAAACATACATTTGTTTCCAAAAGACAAGCTCCTTGATGGCGCTTCTAGCACTTGCAATAAAGTGGAAAGCTCTTATTGTCATCTTGAGACGGATCTCTTTTACCCTTCTTTGGAAAGTTCTGATTTTCTTTGCCTTTATTATCCACTTTCGTTTCTCCAACTGCCCATACTGCTGCTTATTATCTCCACTAGCATGCCCTCTGAAATCTACAAACTGTGCTTTTGCTAGTATCTCATGGCAAGTTCCCAGTTCAAGCACTACCACAGCCAATCTTAGATCATCCGTCTATCCCTGTTCGAAATGTCTTGCCTTCTTCTCCTCCATGTCCATAAAAAGTATGGACCTAATGAGACAAATCTTCACCTATTCTCATATTCAATTAATGACATCCCTATGTCAATGTAAGAAACTCTGTTTTCTTTTAATTTTGGACACTTATGGGATAATACTTCTTCAAAAAGATTCCTTGAACTCATTCTATGTCTAAACATGACTGCGAACCCTTGACCTTCAGGTAGACTCCCACAAATGTCCAGCAACTTTCTGCAACATAAATGTTACACATTTTTCCTTTATGGGATCCAGAGTGAATGAGTTCAACGATTCTTTCTATGCTTACCAATTAGTCCTTTGGTTCCAAAGGGCCTATGTTGCTACCAAACGTCGAAGGATGCTATTTCCTGAATTGCTTTACAATCGCAGTAGTAATTATAGTATCTGCTACCATTTCTTCAGATGACTGAGGTTGTCGTGGCATAGGTGGTGACGTCGGATATAGTAGTTTGAGTACGAGTTTGCATCGTGGCCAGAAATTACTAGGCAATTGTGAGTCGATTGCAATAGGTTGAGGCCATTGAGGTTATTCATTCCTATTTTTGTTCTTCTAGCTCAATAAATGGCGTTTTTGAAAGACGAATAAACATATAATTATAATACCTAATTCAAGCATTCAAGACATGGAGAATGTCGTAGCGAGGTAGTGACTTGAAACCATTTAATTTTTATTTCAAGAATAATAACTTGATTTGATTTTTATTTTCATTTTCATTTAAGCCACTGCTTCTCATTCTGATTTTGGTTCTTCCACAAAAATTTTGTTCCAACAAAGTCTTTGTTGCCAATTTCATTTTTGTCCCTTCTGTCTTTTTTTTTTTATCTCCCCTGTTTTTCCCTGTAAAACAAATATCGAATTCCCCATAATGTATTTTTTTTTTTTTTTAATCAGTGTTAAAAGAATTGATAGGTCTATTCGACCTAAAAAACTGATAACCAACTCAGTTACATTCGAGAATAGAAAACTTTACAACATTAACGACCTGGTCAAGCTAAAATCGATTTTACCAAATTTTTATAAATTATTTGTTAATTTTTTTGGACCACGTTTAACTTTCTCGCACGACTCCTTGTATCGATTTTCTAAACAAGACGTAATATATTTAAACTATAATTCCATGACACTAATATCATAACTTTCATTCTAAGATATAACAATTAGAGAGAACATTCAATTTCCTTTATTGCCAAAAATGAATGAGCTGTGACTCTATGTAATAAAAGCAAGTTGCAGACTGACGACTTCGTTTAATTAACTATATATTGATCTAAAAACAATGGGAATACAAGAAAGTAGATAGCCACCACTTGACAACTACCAATAATACATCACAATATCACAACCGTTTATCTTCGAAGTCAAAAATCTTATTCGTGTGAAGGCGAAATTCTATTCGGTTGCAATTTTGTTTCTTTGAAGGGAAGGCTAAATTGAAGGTGTAAATAAATTATTTTGTTGTCAAAAAATATATTTAGAACGACGAATAATTGGTGAGGAATTCAAAATGTAGAAATATAGAACGTGTAATTGTTCTGGTTAATTCAAGCTAATCAAGTTAAAAGCATGCTAGGTGTATAACATTCTTTACACTTTATTTGACAGTCCTCTCACATTACACAGGTGGATCCCGCGATCAAAATAATTGCAGGACCACTCATGTGAGTGGGCTGTCAAAAAAAGTGTTGATCAAGTTATGAAATGGAATCATAACCCTATGGATGGTAGCCTTGTCAAACATGCAACACAAGACACCACGTACTTCAAGTTTCAAGAAGACGACATAATTGCTTATTTGTTAGAACAAGTTATTCTTGTCTCTCTGTATTCCTCGAAATCTTACTTTGAATCTTTCAAATTATTGATACTCGATCTAAATTATGTTATATCCATTTCGGATTATACGATGTAAAATGGGATATTTTGTCATCCCTTCTCTCCTTGTATATAAAAAGACAAACGTACGCACGTACATGTGGCCTTGGGTTTAGAAAACTTAAAAAAGGGTGACTGCCAAAAAAGAAGAATAAACATGTGCTTAGCAATAAGGTTTATGGGTGAATTTCAAGGACCACGCTCGGATTGAATCAAGGAGACAGGACCACTGTCTAATTTGCACTACTATTAAGAGAATGTTTCTTGCATTGGTTACTCAACTAACTTAATTAATTATAATTAATTTCTCTCTTAAGGCCTCCAAGAAAACTTAATTAGTAGCTTAACAAATAAATTACTCAAGTTGACAGTCTAAAGTTTTCATACTGGAGCTGAAAATAATTTATCTAAAGTTTTTATTCTAAGTACAACATACACCCTCGAATCCAGTTTGTAATAGCCCGTCTTAATTGAAATTGGACAATAATCTTTCTTTTCCTCGTTCTACTGAAATTTTGCATCGATAAGACGACGTAGTTGTGACTTGCTTCTGATATTTGGTTTCATATATATTATTATGACTTTTGGTAGTACGAAATTATATGGGTTTTTAATTCATAACAATTGTAATATTTTTAAAATTACAAATATAGTAAATTCCTGTGTATTTCTAATCCATTAATCCTGAATTATTCATAATCTTCTCGTCTATGTATTATATTCATATGAATATGTATTCTTGTTTTATGTAACGTGACGAAGATAGACGAAGAAACTGGTCCATATGCCAGACAAAAAAAAAAAATACCCAAGGCATACCTAGTAAATTCTTTTCTCAAAATTGACATCTTGTTAGAGGAACTCATTCTTAATTTGTCCCTTTGATCAAAGTAAACGTGGAAGAAAAGGCTAAGTAAGCAATTAAACTAAACGAGCTGGTGGAGGAATAATTGTATGCCACTTTTCTGTTCTTGCATAGTGGGTATAATGATGACAATAATAAATAAAAGATGATAAAAATAAGTGAAAAACTGATCACAGAAATAAGCAATAATCATGGCTACATCATGATATGAATCTTGTAGTTTGAGGCCATAAAGATTAATGATTTTCAAAGTTACATCATGATGAGCTAATGATGATTACTATCATTACAAAGATTAGATTTTTGGGACAAATTATATGGTTAACATCAGAACATGATATCTAGATCATGGAGGGGGAAAAAATGAAAATCTCAACTTCTTGATTGGTGGATTGGATTAGGGTTTTGCAGAGAGAACTGATTTTGCATGGCAAATGGAGGATTGAATGTGTAGAAAGCAGTATTTGTAACTGTAGGGAAATTGGCAGTAGTGTCAATCTTCTGGCCAAATGCTTCAAGTGCTTTAATTTGTGATCTGAGGAACTTGAGATAATTTGCAGCTTCATCAAGCATTGATGCAGTGTCCATTTTGCTACCCCCTGGGACCAGTCTTTGCAAAACCCTAATTCTTTCACTTATCCTTTCCCTTCTTTGTCTTGCAGCAACAGTTTGTGGGTCATTTGATATTCTTACATTCTTTCTTTTGGGCTTCTCAACCGCCTCGGCGCCAAAACTCACTGGCCTGAAGGCTGCAGCTCGATAAATCATCTCTTTCATTTGCTCTATAGCTTCTGAATCAGGTTCATCCATGGAGGATGCATATGAGGTAGGCTGCTGGAAGTTTATGTTTGATGAACTTGAATGGTTATCTGATCTGGGCTTCTTGGATTTTGGGGGATTAGTCGAATAATTTGACTGATGAAAATCAAGATTTTGGTACTGTAGTCCATTTGGTACAGTCAGTTGACTTTCTGATCTGCTTCTCTTGTAGGGATTGGGCTTATTAGCACCTGAAGACTTCGATTGAGTGACATATTCATGGGTCGAAACTTGTGATATTGTTTTATTGGTGCAATGTTTTACAGTGGATGAAGATGTGCCGTTTGATTTTATCATGGGGGCGCTTGAATTTGGATTCCATAATGCTTTGCAATCAGAGGAAAACATGGAAATCCCATCATCTTCAACTGATGTGTCTGTCTGGCTGTTTGTTGCTGATAACAAGCAATCAATTGATTCAAGAGAGTCCAGGTTCGAAATTCCAGCCTCGATTTCTTGAAGACCACCAAAAACTTGTCCATTTTCTAGGCTGAATTCTGCATTCAGGCAATTTTCTGGATTAATCACTGCAGAATTAGGCCTATTAACTTGAGAAGAACTCATTTGGCCATTAATAGTGACTCCACGACTTGTCGATTTTGGAGCCATTGTCGACATATTCCAGTTTGAAAGACCCAACTGCTGAATCATCTCAGTTTTCTGGAGCTGTTGATCAACTGGACTGAAAATATAGTCTGAAATGTTCATCTTCCCATCATTCCCATAGGAACAGCCGTTCGATTCGGAAATGATCAAGCTTTCTTCAATTTCCCGTTGATTTCTCCATGAAACAGAAGTATTTGTGAAATCACTCCATTCAAAATTATCCATTTATTTCTTGTGCAGTACCAGAAATTAAGGCAATCAATAAAGCTCTTCAAACCTGAAAAACCACAATCCATATGAATTTGAACTACACAAAACGCAGAGTTCTATCTTTATTACCAGTCTAATGTATTAAGATGAAGGGAAAAAATAATTAGTAACTCGAACGCATACGGATCGGAAATTGGAATCAAGATGCAGCAAGTAGGCTTTGAACTTCAGAATATTGATAAGTTGAGAAAAATGCTTTTGTAACCTTCAAATACAATCCAGTGACAGCTATAACCACTGCTTAATGAGAAACTGCAACCTTCAAGAAAACAGCCACTTGCAGACGTCAGTTTAGCTACTAAACTTTGTCCAAAAGCAAAATTCCACGTAACTGAGGAAAAAAACAACTAAGGTAAAAGTCCAAAAACCCTGTAATATTAAATGAATTAATACAGAAACATTAACTATAGTAGATAGTTACCGATGACAAGAGCTTTGGAAATACCATGAGCTGCTACGGAGGGCTAAAGTTCTTGAAATTCTTCGTGAAATTTGGTGGTTGGAAGACCTGGTTTATATGAAGAAAATGAGAAAAGGTTTATAAATATATATATTCTTCGATGCATACAGCAATTGATACTGAGAGTACTTATATTAAATAAGTAAAAATGAATGAATAAGGTAATACAATATTCTTTTCTTATGTTTTGACAGTTGACAGGAGATGCAAATGGTTTTGAAAAGATAAGGTTTATGGTCAGTTTGGTGGGGCTGTAAGAAGTGTTTGCTTTTTCTGCATAACAAGGGCATGAGATTTCAGAGAAGCCACTTTGAAGATTAATTTATTATAAGTCGGTTTTCAAAGAATCAATTAAATATAATCAATTTTAAAAAAACAAAGGTCTGACCTCCTTTTGGCTGCTCAGCCCATTTCATGCGCTCTGTAAAGTTTCAGAAAACTGCAAATTAAGCATTTTTGAGCAGCTACTTTACTAAAAGATTTCTTTTAATCATAGTTTTAACTTTTAATCATAATCATAATCATTTTTGTGCTCAAGTACTTAACCTTTTTACTTTTCACTTTGTAGTCTACTTTTGATGTTAAAATACACACAAATAAATGCATTGAATCTTTCTGCTCGGTAAAAATTTGATATTTTATGTCCATAGACTGCAAATTCTCTAATCTTTTTCATACATGTTGAGTTCAAATGTGCACGATATTTACTGGAGTCGAGTTTGACACATACGTGTAGATATACATGTATCTATGGCAATTATTGGTGGATATTAAAGATTGAAAAGCTGGATTGATTATAAGTATGTGTAACATGCATGGAGTAAATAAAACAGAAAATCTCTCACGATCTGCAGATGTAATTTTTCTTAGGATGAAACATAATATATATGTGTAACATGTTATGTATAGAAATAGAGGGGGATTTTGGAATTAAAAAGGATGTTGGCAGACAAGAAAAAAGAGTCAGAAGGGAAGATTAAGCACTTGCAACTTTCTCCTAGGATTTTGTCTTTCACATCTCAACCCATTATTTCTCCAGTTTTTTTTTTTTTTTTTTCCTTCTTCACATTACTCTCTCTCTCTCTCTCTCTCTCTCACACACACACACACACACACACAGAGTCGAGCATCTGGTTTCTGAGGCTTCTTCACATGCATCCCATCACTACAGGTCAGTGAATGGGTTCCCAGGCTATGCAAATCTGAGCTTAAAAAGTTCACTTATTCTTGATTGAAATTAAAAATAAGTTACTTATTTAACACAAATGTAAAAAAGATAAGAAAAGCTATCAAAATATGTTACTTTTATTATATAAATTAATAGTTTTTTTTAGCTACAATCTCTTCACATTTTGTTAATATATAACTATTTTGATGCTGGTATAATATTGAATGGATATGGTAATATATGTAGGCCACAATAAAAAATAAAAAAGATAGAGAAACTAATGAATAAAAGCAAGTACCAAGATTATGATCTGCCTCTCTGTTCATACCACAAATTTAAAATGAAAAATTGCATAAATAAAGGCTTATTGATTTATGTATCTTTTTATTTTAGTACAATGAAGATTTGACAGTGGGACTGTAGTATGATTACTAGTTTTTTATTTCTGAAAAATAGGTAAGTTCGGTGGTCTATATAAAAATAAATAGTCCCCAGTGCAGCTTCAAGTTTATTTTCAAAAATTAAACTCGCATAATAATAATTAATTATGAATATAAAATTATACAATTACACGAGAACTCTTTTACTCGTGTCAATTGAAGCATGCATGAAATAGTAAAATCCTTCTGTTTTTTTCCTATGCAACCGAGCGATTTTTCTTATTGAACTGTTCACCTAATGTAAAAAAAAATTTGAAACGATGTTATAAGATTTTAGAATTAATAATCATTATCTAAATAGACTAAAGCCTGTTGACCTAGATATCATATTGTTTTGTGGCTCTATTAGATCAGATTGTATTCAAGTAATTTTTATTAAAAAAATAAAAACTGATACGGAAAATTCATTTTCAAAATCTTTCTAATTCGTGTCAAATTCCACATTTTGAATTGAGTTTTACTGGGTTATAGCCCAGTTTATAAAGATTCTTATCTGATGAGTATCATTGAAAATCATAATAGTTCGAAAATGAAGTCCATAACATAGAGATGGTTAACTGCTAAAAAAATCGTATATTGTTTTTAACAAACTACGATCCCTTTTGCGAGGAAGCACCAATTCTTCAAGGCTATTTTGTTGAGTTTCTTAGAAATAAATTCATAGAGACGCAACCTAGTACTTTTTCCTTTGACTCTTTGAGTAATTTCCCAAGCAATATTGTAAATTTGAATAATAATTATAAAATAGGAAAATTTGAAGCTTGAATTTAATTGGGCTACACTAGTAGTCGGCCCACAGGCCCACTGAAGACAGTGGTCCATTCACATCTGAATGTCAAAATCCAATAATAAATGCCTCTGTTCATTACCCGCGCTATTCCCGCTAATGGGGCGTGGATTGTCGGCTTTTAGCTGTCAGAATTTTCCAGTCGGCTCGGCTTAGCAGTTCACTAATGGAATGGAACCCCTCCAATTATTAGATCCAGATGGCTTACACGTGAACTCAACGCTCTTATTCATACGTGGCGTTATATTATTGGCTAATCACTCAATCCGATACGGTGATACTCGCACACCAAATCAAGAATTGGGACCGTCTATCTTGATTAATCAGTTGACATTTTCAATTATTTGAAATTTTTATTTCAAGAGATCAAATCCCAGTTCAACTGTTATTCTTCCAACTTCCCCTCAAACAGAGAGAATGTAAAAGTTTTCAATCCATACATTGCATAATTGTAACAAAAATTTGCTGGACAGTGTCCCAGAATTCCAAGACGCCAGTCGTAGCTGATGGAATAGGAGTAAGAACTAGTTAGCCCAAGTCCCTTGCTTGGAAGAACTATCGTGCTTTCAGTTGTACTGAGACTATCCCCACGCTAGGCTTAGGAATTGAAAAGGAAGTATCACCTACCAGTCACGATCTTCCCAATATTGGACCAAATTCATATAGCAGATTAAAGAGAGAAGTGAGTAAATAAAAAACTCATTATTCATCTTATATGGAGTTTGATACAGTTAAATTTTACAATAAAGAACATTAAACATTTCAAGAACATTAACGTTTATTTAGTACATCTGTGACAATGTCATGCAAGTTTCACAATGCTAACACTAGTACTAGACATACTACAATAATTGTGGACATATTAGGTATTGTCCTATATAGATATGTTGACGGAGCAAGTGTACACTTAGCAAGTAACCAGACTCGATCGAGTATAATTGAGTCCAAGATTATAATTCAAGATTAGATACGCTATCCCAAAACATATTTGACCAATTGTCTTTCGGGTCCTAAAAGGTCCATGACAAGTCTTAAATCTCCCTCACAATGGGGAAGTAGGGGCAACCAGCGAAGAATTTAAAGCAACACTGGACATGAAAGCAATAAAGGTCCTTGAATGCAGCAGATCACAGCAAAATAGGTGTACAAGTGCATGCACGGTGAATTTGTCAAACAGAATGGGCTATGGCAAGAGGACCCCTCAACCGGCCAAAAAACAGATTGTGGGGACTTGTCCTGTCCCTGCCAGGATGCCTAGTCACTATCGTTGCATTTTCTAGAAGCAGCAGTTCACATCCTGTTCAGTACGAATCCCATAATTCCCAACGGCTATGATTTTGACCCCTCTTCTAAGTGTAGTGTATTCAGCGGACTAAATAATTCATAAGTAATAACACTGCTCAGTCGAACTTTGCGTTCCCATGTGAGAGCTCGTGGTTCGGGGCAGGGGCTGCTCTAAATAGAGACCTGCATTCAGAGGCAAGCCCCATAAAGATTGACAAACATGATTGTTATCCCATTTCTAAGCACAGAATGGAACCCAAGAAAAGTTGGTTTCTCATCATTTTTCACCTCAACATGGTTTCAAAGGTACTAAGATAACAGAACTGATCTCCTACCCACGGTGAACATGAGTTATGTTGCCTACCACCAATGTGGCAACACCACATATTGTCACATTGACAGTGGACAATATGACTCATACTCATCTACCGTGGGCAAGAAATCAATTCTAACTAAGAAAAACTTAATGTACAAACTCCAAGTTAAACTAAACTGAGTGTTCCAAGTTCACTAGAATGTATCAAAGAGCACAAGATATCTAAAGCAAAACGGGCACCTAATCGATGCAAAATTGCATTTTAAAGAAATTTCTCTTCATGCATGTTGAAGAAGGAATAAAGATTATCCAATTCAGGGATGCAGCCATTTCTGGAACCAAAGTCAGTTGTATAATATCAAGCCTGTGATGCTAATAGATCTAGAATGAATGGTGGTTATTTTTATTCAACAAGACAATGTAGTTCGAACTTCGAATAAGACAAATATCCATATGCAGTTGTATGCTCAAGTCATGAGCAGAGGAGACAATTGTGTTCTCTATAGAAAGAAACAAATTTTAGAACCCAAATCATATGTCAATGGTTTCTCTAAAAACATATTTTATCAAGCGAAAGGCAAATATCAAGGAAATAAACATTTATTGTAATATGTATGCATCTAACGAAATAAACAAGTATGGTGATAAAACCACAAAACAGTGCTAGTAAGTTCAATATCCTGACACGACCACATGACCTCAGTCCAGCCAGAGTAGAAGTTGGCAAATCTGTGTATTTATCTTCATCCATGCATAAACATCAGCAATAAATAGCATCACAAGCTGTAACTGCCACAAGAAAAGAGGACTGAGCTACACTGCCCACGGGGATGACCGCAGGCATGTCCGCACACACACAACACAGGAGGATCGGATTTTAAATTCAGGTGGGACTCACCTCAGCATGTGAGGGTGCGGTCACCCATTGTGTCAACCATGCGGGTCATTTGGCAAAATCCAAGAAAAGATCACTTAATTTTTCATGAACATGACACATAAGCAGAGTTTCACTGCTCTAACAGGCTAGCATCTCTATATAGAGGATATAGTCATTTCTAGGCATCTTAATAGTTCTGTATTCATGAAACCTTCTAGTGTCACTATAACTGGCCAAAACCCATATCTAAACCTTTTTATGAAGTTACCATGAGCCCTATATCATTTGAAAGCTAAAAATACATGTCAAATAAGATTAAAATAACCCGCTGAATCTCACTCTCAATCGAATGACAAATACCATTTGGAAGCTATAAATACAAGTCAAATAAGATTGAAATAACCCACTCAGCACTCATTCAACATCAAGACTGAAAAGCTAACTTGCGAACAAGAATAATTTCACTGAACTTCCGAACCATAGCATCCACTGCATATACAAGTTTATGGGTAACAATAGGAGAATTTCTCGTCCGAAAGTAATCTTCTGACATGCTTCAGAGATCTGACAAAACAAGCTTCAAACAGAAAACTAAACAAGATTACAGAAGTCAAAGACATAGTTCAATACACAAAAGAATCCTCAACTTTCAGTCGAACAAGAAAGTTTCCTCATCATGTTTACCCATGGCAACCTAATTCAATTCAAATACAAGCGCCCTCATTTCAAACCGTTGAAATGATAGATTAAAGATAAGTTTTTAACAAAAATAATAATATTTCCCAAAAAACTGATGAAACTCTCTTAGGAAACTCATTGACTGACTGGACTGAATTATATTTTCATTAGGAAATTGGCATTTAAGACAATTGTCCCAAGGAATCCCTTTTCACGAATTACTGTGTTTATCTGAGTGATCCAAGGACCAAGAAAATTTCTATTTTGCTTATCCCGATTCCGATGAGCCTAAACCCCACGATTTTGGCTTAGTTGGCCGTGAATGCTCGACTTATTAATTTATTCAATAAACTACTAGAAACTCATGTAGTCCATGTCATATTCTGGGTTGGAACAATGAACATTTGAAAATTATTTGATTCTTATCTTTCAAAGAATTTTCAAGATACATCGGAATCATTATTTGACCAATTTTCCTAAATCATTACTTATAGGACTTAATGATTCCTAATAGCATATTCATCTTTTTAACTATATGTAGTTGGAGCATTCATTTGATTTGGTAATCAAAATAATAACGAATAAAAAAGTAATGATTTGTCTGTCTATTTACTACCAATCTATGGTAGAAGAGAAGTTCCATCATAATAATTATTTATTTCAGTTTAGAGTTTTTCTTTTTGAAAAAAAGGGGATGACAAGAAGGCATTGGAGCAACAATTTGGAATTTTTTTTTTATTTTTCCTTTCATACATTCAGAATTCAAATAAAATTGAATAAAAGATTAAGTACTTGTTTGATATCCTTTAAAATTTTAATACATTTTTCTCTCTTTTATTTTCAACCACATTTTTTAATAAAATAATATTATACGTAAATCAAATAATTTTCCTTCATTTTCAACCACACATTCAACCAAAAAATACTATTCCATGATACATTTTACCGAAATTTCTCTTTATAATAGATGTCAAACAAGGGCTAAGAAGTTTCAAATTTTCTTCTAAGTGATAAAAGAAAGAAGAACTCGTNAAATTTCTCTTTATAATAGATGTCAAACAAGGGCTAAGAAGTTTCAAATTTTCTTCTAAGTGATAAAAGAAAGAAGAACTCGTAGGACTAATAAAACAAAGAATAACTCATAAAATCAACCCTAAGGATTTTGAGACGTTAGACAATAAATTTTTATGAGGCTTTAAACATAATTTTTTTACAAGTGTAGAAAAATAGCATATTATATTTTAAATGTAGACATTGTAGCATAATATTCAGCCAAAATTATATCCCTACAGGAGAAAATATTGTCGGTGTAAATAATAATTTTCAGGAATTATTAATTGGGAAAACTTGAGTTGAAACTTGTAATAACCTCTACAGTGCTAGTAATATACAAATCAAAGTAGGACATATCTTACCCCATGACTACTTCTAAATAACTTGTTCTTAATCTTAAAGTGTTATGAGTATGTCTTCAATTGTTAAACTGTGTCGTTTTGCTATTGACTGGGTCGTGTCATAGGTTGTATCTTAGTGGGTAGTTATTTCATTTTGTTATGGGTCAATTGTTTATTTTCGTAAGTAATGGGCTATGCCCCCACGTCGTGTAACAGGTCATTGTTCGTGGCCTACTTATACTATTTCAACTCAATAAAAAGATCATCATCAGTTTAATCAAATTTACAGATTACAGGAGGCCTGGTAACCTCCAATTATCATCCATTTATTTACTTACTGTTACGTATAATTTTGGGAAATAACAGTGGTATCAGAGCTAGGTTTCTGGCACCATGGCTAATTGTGCTCGCCACGCTCAATTGGCTGATGATATCGCAACCCTCAAAGGAGAGAACAACAACCTGCGTGAAGAGCAAAGAACGGCAAAAGGACATGTTAGCTGTAGTTCTTCAGCAAACCAGTAATTTGGCTTCTAGCTATGAACATTTGGCAGCAAATCAGAATTCAGGAAAAGGGTCTTCTAATTCTAAGGTCAATAACAATCCTTTGTTTGAAGGGAATGGGGGCATTCAAGCTAGATCTTTAAGACTGGATTTCCCTAAATTTGATGGTACTAATCCAGAGGAATGGACTCAAAAAGCACAACAGTTTTTTGAATATTATAGAACCCCAAATGACCAAAGATTACAAATAGCATTATTTCACATGGAAGGTAAAACACTCTCATGGTGTAGCTAGCTGAAGGATTTAAGCCCAGTCCAATCCTGGGATGACTTTGTTTCAGCCCTAGTAGTGAGATTTGGACCCTCAGCCTACGAGGATCCTGTTGGGGAATTCGCTAAACTTAAAAAAACTGGTACTGTTGAAACATATCAAACACAATTTGAAATGCTATCTAACAAAATAAGTGGCTTATCTGAAGAGTTTAGAATCAGTACCTTTTTGAGTGGGCTAACAGATGACTTGAGAATCACTGTGACTATGTTTAAACCTTTCACTCTATCATCTGCTTTTGGCTTGGCAAGGTTACAGGAAGAGGAGGTATTAAGGCGTGTCAAAGGCAACATAAATAAATTCCCTACCTACCCAACCACCAACTCACATTACCCATCTAGACTCCCGACGCCAGCCCCTACACTTAGACTGCCAGCCCCACCAAATAAAACCAACCAGAAACATCAACCTTTCAACAATCCAAAAGGAACCAATTTCCCCATAAAGAGAGTCAATCCCACTCAAATGCAGGAAAGGAAAGAAAAGGGACTATGCTGGTTTTGTGATGAAAAATACCACCCAGGACATAGATGTAATAAACCTAAAATACCTTTTGGAAGGGATGGAATGAGAAGAAAAGGACAACGTGGGTGCTGAAGGGGAGGAGGAATGCTTGGTTGTGATTGGAACCAATGAATGAGAGGTTGGGGAGTTGCTAAGAATATCCCTACATGCTATAGCTGGATCATTAACCCCAAAAACCATGAGGTTGTTTGATGAAATAAATCATCACAAAGTTCTGGTTTTGATTGATATAGGAAGCACATATAGTTTTATAGATCCATATGTAACAAGGAAGGCTAATCTGTCAAAAAAAGAAAGGCACTTAATAGTTCAGGTGGCTAATGGTGCCACTCTTCCTTGCCTTGGTCAATGTAAGGCTGTCTCTCTTACGTTACAAGATCATAAGTTTATGGCTAATTTATATATGTTGAATCTTGGAGGATGTGATGTAGTTGTGGGGGTTGATTGGTTAAGTGGGTTAGGATCTATTTTATGGAATTTCTCTAATTTAACCATGAAGTTTCAGTATAGAGGTCAAGCAGTCCAGTTGCAGGGGATTCAGAGACTAGTGAACAATATTGTGGAGGAAGATCCTACTGTTGAACCTATGGAGGGATCGGTGAGAGAAATTTGGTTGCAAATCATGGATGGTAATAATGGTAAAGGCAGAATAACACAACCAACAAAGGTACAGAAAATTCTGGACAATTCTAAAAAGGTCTTTGCCGAGCCTATTGGGTTGCCACCTCCCAGGAATTTTGATCACAAAATTAAAGTATTGGAAGGAACTAAACCCATTTGTGTTAGGCCCTACAACTACCCTTATTACCAAAAGGAAGAGATAGAGAAGCTGGTAGCTGAGTTACTAAAGAATGGCAGCATAAGAAGCAGTCAAAGTCTATATTCTTCTCCGGTGCTACTTGTGAGAAAAGCTTATGGGAGTTGGCAAATGTGTGTGGATTATCGTGCACTCAACAAGGAGACCATAAAAGATAAGTATCCTATTCCAAACATTGATGAGTTGCTTGATGAGCTAGGGGGAGTTGATGTGTTTTCTAAATTAGATTTGAAATCAAGATATCATCAGATACGCATGAATCCTGATGACATCCCCAAAACTGCCTTCCAGACACATAAGGGGCATTATGAGTTTTTAGTAATGCCCTTTGTGCTTACTAATGCACCATCTACATTTCAAGGGGTGATGAATGAAGTATTTAGACCCTATTTGAGGAAGTTTTTGCTCATGTTTTTTTATGATATCTTAGTCTATAGCAAGTCTATGCAGGAGCATGTACAACATAACACAAGAGTCTTGGAGTTATTATAAGCTAACAAGTTTTTTGCAAAGCTGTCAAAGTGTGTTTTTGGAATTAAAGAGGTGGAGTACTTGGGACACATTATCTCAAAGGAAGGAGTTAAATTAGGTCCTCAAAAGCTGGTTGCAATACAAGAATGGCCAACTCCTAAGAACCTTAAGGCACTAAGAGGTTTTTTAGGACTCACAGGATATTACAAGAAATTTGTCAAGGGGTATGGAGCAATAACAGCCCCACTAACAGCTTTTGTAAAGAAAAACTCTTTTTCTTGGAATGATCAAGCACAGGGAGCATTTGAGAGACTTAAGGAGGCGATGGTAAGGCCACCAATGCTCAGCTTACCTAATTTTATTAAAACTTTTGTAGTGGAATGTGATGCATCAGGGGAAGCATTGGGAGCTGTTTTAATGCAAGAGGGGCAACCAATAGCATATTTTAGCCAGTCTTTAAAAGGGTGGAATCTGAACCTTTCCACTTATGAAAAGGAATTATTGGCACTAGTGATGGCAGTGAGGAAATAGAGACACTACCTGTTGGGACAGTCCTTCAAGGTACATACTGACCAGAAGGCACTCGAATACTTGCTGAAACAAAGGGTAGGGACCCTCTCACAACAAAAATAGGTCTTTAAATTGCTTGGGTATGACTTCATGGTGGAATATAGAAGTGGCAAGAGTAATGCAGCAGCTGATGCCTTATCTCGGGTGCAATACTTAGAACCCCAAGACCCAAACAGAGACCAAATACTAATCCCAACCACAAACCAAACCACACAAAAAAAATCGAATTATCCAAAACCAAGCCATCAGCATTTTACAAGCTCAGTGGATAGAAGAGTTGAAGAAGGCTTACCTTCAGGACCCCATGTTGCAGAAGTTGATAAGCCACTACCATCATGGAGAATTGGACCTAACTCATTACCAACTCTGAAATGAGTTACTCTTTTACGAGAATAGACTACATCTCGATCATTGGTTCCCTTCCAGCAGCAAATCCTGCACTAGTTCCACGTCAGTCCATTAGGGGGCCACACAAGTGTATTAAAGACCCACACAATAACAAAAAAGGAATTTTATTGGCCTGGTTTGCAAAATGATGTCATAACACATGTCAAGGCATGTGATGTATACTAGAGGAATAAAGTAAAAGCCCTCCACCCTATGGGGTTGCTTCAGCCTTTACCGATACCTAGCAAAAACTAGGAAGATATCAGCATAGATTTCATTGAGGGTCTACCCCCCTCAGGAGAAAAGACAATGACCCTTGTGGTGGTGGATAGGCTAAGTAAGTATTCTCATTTTATGCCTATTAATCATCCATACACAGCACTAACGGTGGCTAGAGTTTTTATGGATAATGTTTTCAAATTACACGGGCTACCACAAACAATTTTTAGTGATCGAGATCCTGTGTTTACAAGCAATTTTTGGAAGGAACTATTAAGGTTATGTGGAATAGATTTATTACTTAGCACAGCCTATCATCCTCGAACGGATGGCCAAACAAAGGCCATGAATAAAGTGCTTGAATGCTACCTCCAATGTTTTTCAAGTGACAAATCGAAAGATTGGGCAAAGTGGTTACCTTTAGCTGAGTATTCCTATAATACCTCAGTACATACATCCATGAAGGTAACACCTTTTGAAGCTATTTATGGTCAGCTACCACCTCGAATGTTACCATATGAGGTAGGATCCACTAAAGTGAAAGGTATTGATAAAGAACTTCGAACACGAGAGTTTATTGCTAAACTCATCAAGGAGAACCTGCAGGAAGCCTAATCAAAGATGAAATATTTTGCTGATAAAACAAGGAGGTACTAAGAGTTTGAAATTGGAGACTTGGTTTACCTCAAGTTACGGCTGTATCAACAAATGACAGTAGCATTGCGAAGGAACTTGAAGATTGTACCGAGATATTTTCAGCCTTTTAGAGTGATTTGAAGGGTGGGTCAAGTCGCATATGAGCTCGATCTACCTCCTGAAGCTAAGATCTATCCTTTGTTTCATATTTTGTGCCTCAAGAGAAAGCTAGGAGAAGGAATACAAGCTTGTGCACACCTATCGCTCATCACGTCTGAAGGCTCCTTGGAACTCGAACCTGAGAGAATCTTGCAAAAGAGGCTGAAAAGAAAGGAAAACGTTGCCGGAGTTCAGGTCTTGGTACAATGGCCTGGGGCCAACGAGGAAGATGCTACCTGAGAAGACCTAGACACCATAAGGAGGCGATTTCATAATCTTGAGGACAAGGTTTCCTAAGAAGGGGGGTCTGTTATGAGTCTATTTTCAATTGTTAAACTGTGTCATTTTGCTGTTGACTAGATCGTGTCGTAGGTTGTATCTTAGTGGGTAGTTATTTCATTTTGTTATAGGTCAGTTATTGTTTACTGGGTTAGTTGTTTATTTTCGTAAGTAATGGGCTATGCCCCACGTCGTGTAACAGGTCATTGTCCGTGGCCTATTTATACTATTTCAATTCAATGAAAAGATCATCATCAGTTTAATCAAATTTATAGACTTATAGGAGGCCTAGTAACCTCGAATTACCATCCATTTATTTACTTACTATTACGTATAATTTTGGGGCATAACATAAAGCTTACCTTTCTGCTGTTATTGTCCAGCACTATCCATCTAACTTTACTAGAAACAAACAATAATTGAAGTTAATTCACTTCACTTCACTTCACTTCAATTAAGACGTCCCAAAGATATTTCAAGGCTAAAATGGATAGGAAATTAAAATTTGCAGTTCCATTACAATATTGATACCTACCAAGAAAACAAGCAACCCATTGTCCACAAGCCATGTGATACAAAAACACTGCATTCTAAAAATGAAAGCCAAATACATCACTACTAATATATTTAAAATAATAACGTGGCTCATTTGAGAATATCAATTTAAAATATATCTGCCCAAAATCTAGAAACTTCGTCTTAAAACTTCAAGCTCGTTAAGAAAAAGTAGCGTAAACCTCTATCTTTATTACTTTTGTATTAAAGTGTTCATGAGTTTGCTAGTGAATAAAAACATAACTTGCATTAAAATTCCATCACCAATGGCTCCCAACAACCCTAAACTCGTCATAATGGCATCGTCACAATCTGCATGCATGAATATAGACCTAAAAAAACCACTTCTTCTTATTATTTTCCATAATCTTACTTTCATTACCCATATATTTTCACTTTATAACTAAAAACAAAACAACATAGAGAGAAATTTAGAGTACTGTAGCCAAAAGGTTTTCCACTCCAAAAGTACATGATAGTTCGGGTATGTAATACAGAGTGCCAAAAAGTAACGAAAATGGAAAACTTGTCAAGATTTTATAGAGTTAAATAAGACATGTCCCAAAGAAAAATTTTCATTTTGTCAAAATTGATCAATTGGTGGCGTAACTATTAAGATTTGGAGGTTCATCTTAAAATGTCAACCTTATTAAGAAGAGTAACCTAAATCCTTACATGTTGATTTATATTTTCATATTTATTCAATGTGAGATTTATCCCTTAACAGTAACTATAGGACATGAGCAGTTAAGCTTCATCGGTACATATTCAGGATACAACCAGATTCTAAAGTATGGATCAAATGAGGATTGTACTACTTTTATGAGAGATCGAGAGTTATATTGTTATAAGAGGCATTTTCAAGAATGTCCAATTATAAGGGTTGGAGTTGAAAAGTGTACTTTTTTTATAATCCTTGCAAAAATGTCCAATTTTTAAATCAAAATGTCTACTTTACCTCATGAAAAGATTAATCAATTTTATATCACTTTGGCACAATCTTTAAGAAGAGCAAATAACTTCCACGAGAAGCCACAATAATTTTGCTATTACCTAGGTGAGTCCAC